TAATGTAATACCAGCCTAATTCGCGAGACATTTTCCTGTTGTCCAAAACAAAAAAGGGCCAATATGACTAATAAAAACGAACATAAATTTTAGATATTTATCTTAACAAAATGTCAAAAGAAGAAACAGACGGTAAAATAAAATTGAGAAAAAATTGTACCGGTAATCACCTTTTAAACGAAAGCAAATTTTGAAACGGGATCAAGAGTATTCAAGAATGACAAACATTAAAGCTAGTCGCAAAGGTTAGAGTTGGAGAAGTCATGTCTATGTGCATAATTTAATATACATTAATTATAATATAATTTATATATATACTATATAAAAACAAAAGGAATTATTTTGCTATTTTTGTATACTATAAAAACTTGCAATTAGATTTATATATCGCACTACGAATCTCGTATATTCTCGATCATTTATCATATTTATAACTTATGTCGCATATGACAATTATGTCTAAGATTATCCTTCTTCAGCGTGCACATTAACGTGAAAAAAATCACGTTAATGCGCGTGGAAGCAACGAGAGCCACGATCTACCTCAAGATAACTGTTTTTTGATACCGGTATGACTTACGCAGTTGACGTAAAATCGATTGTTTATATTATTTATCTCTTAGAAAAGATGTTCAAACAGCATTAGAGATATAGAGGAAAATCCCTTATGAGATAGCGGAGTTTCTGCTAAATCAATAGGCATTATTCGTTCCATTATTCCACCATGAATCTATTGCCCTTGGAGTGAAATCTGTTTAGTAGAAAATTGATTGTTAGCTCGTGTAATTGTTGCGAGAAAAGATTAGTGATTGAATTTGGGCGTTGAACATCTACTATTTCATATTAGAATACTATCTCATAATAGAGATCTTTCCTCTGATCTCTAATGCTGTTTGAACATCTTTTTCTGAGAGATAAATAACATGAACAATCGATGTTAAGTCAACTACATAAGTAATACCGGGAAATCAGTGACTATTCACTATTTTCGGTGACAATCCACCGATTGACTTTTAGAGAGTAACTGTAAAGTAATAAAACTCTTTACCGAAAGGGATGCGACTGAACGGCGCGCAATACTTTCAACTGCCTTTGCCGCACACGCGTAAGAGGATGACGGTGATACGCGTGATGCCGCGTGATGACGCGAATTATTTTCACGCGGTTCAGGACTCGATCGCAGGTCCGATTGCTGGACCCGGAACGAGGACCCGATGTCGCGGCAAGACGCTGGAATCGAAGCAGAGCTCGGTTGAAATTGCGCTCGTGACGTGCAACGGCGTTGATCAAAGTAAGAAGTAAGAGGATATAACATCTGTCTCGGTCGTACAACAAACCCGAACATCAAATAGAAAAATAATTGTTATTAAATTGATCCACGAGATTACGATATTTTATTGAATAAAATGACGATTTATTCAATAAAAGAAAATTATCAAGTGATAACAAAAACTTTTCGGACGTAACACAGTTTCATTTAGACTGTAAAGAATTTCTTTTGTACGTTTTGTAGATTGTACATTAATTTCGCGAGCTGGTGTAGAAAGAGAAATGACACTCTCTAAAAATCAATCAGTGGATTGTCACTGAAAACAGTGAATAGTCACTGATTTGCAGTTATAAGTATACCACTGAAAATCGCAGTGGTGTACTTATATCTGTAAATCAGTGACTATTCACTGTTTTCAGTGATAATTCAATGATTGATTTTTACTCTCTAAAAGTTAATCAGTGCATTATAACTGTGAATCAGTGAGTATTCACTGTTTTCAGTGATAATCCACTGATTGACTTTTCGAAAGTAGAGAGTACAGTTGGTAGCGACCATAGACATAATAAACTGAGCGTCCTATTGAATAAGCTGAAGCTTGTGAAGAGAGAGAGAGAGAGAAAAGATATTTAAGAAGACTTTCTTTCTCTGTTTTACACCATCGTAAAAGAAAAGAATCATGCCTGCGCAGTACTACACAGGCGTGATTCTCCCTTGTCACGATGGTGAGACAGAGAAAGAAAGTCTTCTTAAATCTTCTCTGTCTCTCTCTTCACAAGCTTCAGTTTATTCAATGGAACGCTCAGTCTATATTTACTATAGTGACACAGTTGACAAAGTGTTCAATATGTTCCTACTCCGAAGATGAGGTAGAACGTCATGACATTTGCGTGGGAACCGAGACTATCGAGCCTGTCGGTGATCCGCAGTCTCCGACGCGGCGGGAAGATGTTCCATTGATCGTTGAGAACGATTCCGAGAAATTTGCGGAATCCCCGAATGCCGAGAATGATCGTCGGGAAACCGTGCGGAAGGTCGTGTGCGATTCGCAAGAATTGCGAGGGCAGGCGGAGCGCGGCTGCGGGAGCGCCGACCGGAAACGGAACTGCGGCGATCGCGTCGCCGAGATCGTGGAGGATGAGAAGTGCGGTAGCTGGTGGAAGGATGGTGGCCAAACAATTCTGCAGTTTTTTGCCAAGATCCTGGGAAAACGCGGCGGAATAGGCGCCAGGGGACCGGCGGGTTACGTCTTACCAACCGGCAAGCAGCCTGGCAAGCGTGTCAAGCGCGTTTCAAGGGGTGGCAAAGGCCATAACGGAAAAGACGTCGATGGGGGTATACGCTTGAAACGAGTCGACAACGGCTACATTGCGAATCGCGTCAATAGGTATGCGACGTTTGTCGTTTAAAAATTAGAAACGTTTCGGAGTTTGAAGCAAAATTCTGGCTAAAGTTTGCAGTTCTAAATACCAATTGCAAGTTGAGTCGCGTCGATAGTGATCGATTTATCAAAATATAAGAAACAAAATATAATTTAAAAATTAGAAATCATTTGGACACTAACCCTGTCTTGGCTCTTATATCCTTGATTCCCTTCGAATTGTGATTACACGTCAGAGCCTTATGAATTTTATTGCTCAAAATGTAAGAGTTGAATTTTATTTAAGGCAGAGAAATAGATAAGTACAGAGAACAGTTATTAATTGTAGGAAAAGAGGAAAATTTTATTTGAAGCTCGACATCGCGCAGGATTAGAAGTTAAAGCAAAATGAGATGTATAGATGGCATGCATTTGAGATTTCCGCTCAATTTGCAAGCCAATTAGAATTGATTGCGAAAGCACGAGAGTTATGCATTTTTGTGACTGATTTGTACAGTGATGGGCAGAATGGTCGCGGCACTTTTTTTTTAAATGAACTTAGAAACATGCATTTAGATTCAGGATTACGTCCCAAAATCTTCTTCTCCGAGGGACATTTTACTCGATGGCCATTCTGAAACTAATCTGAGCGTTTCCGATCTATTTCTCGAGTAAAATGTTCCTCGTAGAAAATGTTTTGGAACCTGAGGATCAATTCTGGGTGTTAATTCTGTATCTTACAATAATGTGAAAATGCTAAAAGTGAACGGTTTTGTCTCTTTCTAAAGCCTGGTTTTTCATTTTCTGGTTAATTGTTAACCAGAAGTTAGTCGATTCTCTATCTCTTCTTAGATAATAATATAAAAAAAGATAGAGAGTCGACTAACCTCTGGTTAACAGTTAATCAGAAATGGAAAAACTGGGCTCAAGAGGACGGCTAGAAAGAGACAAAGCTACTCACTTTTAGCATTTTCACTATAGTGCAAGATACAGAATTGACCCCCTGAATCTAAATGCGCATTTCTAAACTCATTAAAAAAAAGCGTTGCATCCATTCTATCACTGTACACGCGTAGATCTAGTTTCAGGGGCCAAGCGCGAGCCCGAGCGCGATTTTACATTACGCAGTTCGTCCGAGCACGCACGTCTGTAAATAAATAAATTTCCAAAACGCGACGCATCGGTGTAAAAATGTGCCGGCGGTGCCTAAAATTGAATGCAGCCGTGACGCGAAAATAGCTCTCGTCCTTTTTCGAAATACGCGCGTACGTTCCGGCCGAATTGATATTCATGCGCCGCATGTCGTACTCGCGCCAGGGACGAGGGGATGCGGCGCGGCGCCGCGATGGAAAATAAGTCGCGTGAGAAGCAGCAGCGGCAGCATCATCCCTCGATTCTCGTGCGGCAGATACAGCGGACGCGTGACAAAAATCTACGGGTCGTGCTGCTGGAGCGGGAGCTGCGCGCACGTTTGCCCAGGGTTGCCAGAAGGGACGCGTGTCTGACCGCGAACGGCGTCAACGTCCGACAATTAAGCAGCCCCCTTTGTTAATTCTCCGGCTGTAAGAAAACTGATAGATACTTCGATAGGCAGCCAGTTTCATTTAAACCTAGTCTACAAAGTGCTCTCTGCATCTAGAAACATTTTATTTTATACAAACAAATCGAGATGCTTAAAAAATTTGCCTACAATGTACGATTGTACAGTGTATAATATACAATTTGTCCACTTGCGCCGAGTTTTTTGAACGTATTCATTGACTACGAAATAGAATACATAAATTTATGTCGAACTTAACTGGCCCAAGTTTAATATATATTAATAGTGCGACGTTTCGACTATTGGTTTTGATTTTTTTCAAGCACGATCTTAAAAATGTGTGTGTAAAGGCCTGTGTCCACGATCAAGCACATTGTAGATTAGACTGTTAGCCTGGACTCCTCATAAATGCGTCTTAACACGTTTGCTTTATGTTTGTTCACAGGGCGCGCACGTGTGAATTTTGCAATTCCGCGTCTCGGAAACAGATTATCTAATTGGCATCGGCGCAGGGGGCGGCCCGTGGCGAGAGGTTCTTCAATTCCAGGTAAGGATATCCGTGACGGATATATATGATCTTCGATCTAGCGCGCGCGGCATTCGCGAGGCACGTAGATTAGTTCAATCGTGGATGTGATCTCACCAGGCGACGCGCAATTCGACATTGCCGCACCTTTCTCAGTCTGCGACGACTCCCGCTGCACCGACTTAATGTTAGCCTCGTGGAGCATCTCGAGATGCGGATGGCTGCCGATTATTTCCGGTTCCGGTACTCTGATCACGAGCACCCCTTCGGGATTCTGCTGGCCGCGCGTCTCGTAGCTCGTTTCTTGCCATCTGTCCCTTATAGCATGCGGCCGCGTCGTCTCGTCTACGGGAATACGACACAGTTTTAATGACGCGCTTTCACATTTACCATTAATTAATATACAGAGGAAAGTCCTCTATTATGAGATAGTAAGTTTTCAACGTCCTTGTTCAATCACAATCTTTTTTCGCAACGATTACACGATCTAACAATCAATTTTCCACTAAATAGATTTCACTCCAATGACAATAAATTCATGGTGGAATCAACAGATGATGTCTATTGATTTAGCAGAAACTCCGCTATCTCATATTAGAAGCCTATCTCATAAGGGCCTTTCCTCTATCTATGGGAATCCTGTAAAAAGAAACTAACTGAGCAATTGCGCCACTGATGACAATTCGGAAAAGTTTAACTGATCAGGAATAAGATGAGCAATTTTCTTTGTTTCTCGCCGTGACCACCTCAAGATATCTCGTATGCATACCTGGGGTCAATCCTTGGTCCTGTTGATTCACTATTGGTGCGGAGCTCGGCGAGCTCGCTTTTCGACTCGCTGTCTTTTGTTGCTGTTGCTTCGAATTCTCGTCTAAATCCAGTAGCACTGGCGAACGCGTGTAATCTTCATCGTTGCTCTCGTTTTCGGACTGGAATAGAAATTCGCCTTTTTTCTCTGTGCCATTCTTCTCTGTGCTGGCATTCTTCGAGCGAGATTTTACGTTTTCTTAAACGCCGGCCCTCTCTCCGTTTATTGTACGAAATAAATCGATATAACCAGGACACGAGATAAACGCGTCTCTAAAATATTCTTCAGGAATAGAGCATTGTAATGACTAATAAATGTGTAGAAAGGAGAAAGTGCCAATGTGAGCCACAAAATAAGCAGGAACTCGGTTCTCACAATTTAGATTCAACATTTCTCTTTAATAACAAACGTTTCGACCCTTCTTTGGGTCTTCCTCAGTAAAAACTAAAAGGAGACCATCGAAAGTACAGGATAAGAACACAGTACATTATAATGCAGATTGGTTCAACAATTATCGTCAGTTACCTCGTATATGACTAATAAATATTATAAATTACCGTTGGTCAAGTCGTCTAGACGGTGTATCTTAAGTTAAAAAATTAATATACAAACTGTGAAAGACCGAGACATAAGTATAAATATATGAGAGATTCGAAATATAGAGGACTTGCCTCTATATTTCGAATCTCTCATATATTTACATTCATCTCTCGGTCCTTCACAGCTTGTATATTAATTTTTCAACTTAAGATACACCTGTATTATGAGATAGATCTCTAATACGAGATAGCAGGTTTCTCAACACCCAAATTTAATCGCAAATCTTTTTCCGCAACGATTACACGATCTAACAACGAATTTTCCACTAAACAGATTTCGCTCCAAGGGCAATAAATTCATGGTGGAGTCAACAGACGACGCCTATTAATTTAACAGAAACCCCATATTAGGATCCTATCTTATAATAGGGGACCTTCCTCTATATTATTTTGCGAGAAAGGACACATTTTTTAAAAAGGCACACGAGCGTCTTGGAAGATCTTGATCCAAAATACATAGCACACACGAAAGAACGTTTTATGTTACAAAAGTTTACATTGGCATTTGAGCCCAGACTCGCGCGCAAAGTAAATAAGTGGATGAGAAGATGACGAGGCTCCACTGCATTATTTTGCAATATTGCGGAGTTACATTTTTTGCAATAGTGTCGCATCACTTCGACGGCCCGTACCTCGTTCTTCGCCGGCTCGGCGCGATATTCCTCCGAATTTTGCTCCATCCCGGGCACCCGATCGAGCACAAACAGCACGTCCTCGTTAACCCTGATGTCACCCATCGACATGCCGAGTAGAAACGACGTGAAAAACTGACGACTCGCCCTACCCGGCCGAGTATCGTAAGGCGTTTATCACGTGGGTCTACCGGCTGGGTTTGTCCTCGGATAAGATGTGGATCAGCCACAGACAGTTGTTATTAATGTTAATTTTATCCGTTTATTAAGTATTCAGGTGTTCCGCGCTGGGGTTCTCATTTTGTCCCGGCCAGGTAGGGAGAGGAATGCATCCGGTATCGTATGGGCCCTGCCCAAAGTATCGCGAGCACAGTATTCTTAGCAGAGCGCTCGGGAAGCTAGAGAATCTTTATTAGCACAAGAAAACATGGAGATACGTTTGCAAAAATTGACTTTACTGTAGCACGATTCTGACCATTAGTTTTCTGGAACATATTAAGTTAATTTGCCGAACTACCGTAATAACGTTTATCCGCAATCTTTACGTGAAATAATTTCAGTCACACATTATCGTACAAAATTCGATCATTTTTGGGACAGGAAAATTTTTCCATCGTGACTCAATGCGCGCAAAATAAAGAAAGAGTATTTTTTTAAAAACTATTCCTATCTCCCAAAGGAATTAAACAGGTAGCAGTGGCGTTAGATATAGGTGTCCATACCTGGTGTAATATTAGCATACGTATGAGAGCCTCTGGGATGATCGGGATAAAAATGAGAGTACAAACATCGGGACATAATAGACGCCCGGCCGATGGCAATACTAATGAGGTGGAACCGTGCAAGTATAACAGATCGTGAAGAATGACGCGTACGTGAGCGGAGATGCGACGGGAATTACGAATGCGAGGAGAAAAAAATAAATAAATTGGAAAGTGCCTTCCGTCAGTTCGTAAAACGGATTCGCCAAGTCGTATATTGCGGTCCGACATTTTCAAGCGATCAAAATTCGTAGTGACGGTGAATATCTAAAGCCACATCGCCGGCCGTGTCCTGAAATATTTCTGTAGAACAGCGAGGTCTTCGTCCGCAGGTACTTTTAATAGGTTTGCCATAAATAATTTTTGTTAAATCGTAGAGAGCAATTGCACGCTCCGACGTTGTCGAACGCGTTTTACACGAATGCTCGCGAATGTATATATGCATCAAGCTACACTCGCGGTGTATTCTTTATATTCAAAACAGTCCTTCTCAAAATGCAAACTTTGTTTTATTTCCACTTTACCCGAATATCTTTGAACTCGCGAGTCGCGAGATTCTGGAAATAAACGACGATGTTGAAGAGGGCACATCCGACGCATTCTGACGTACATCTATATCTGGAAGAAAATGGCATATAAACATAACGTTTATACTTTTCCGCGACGTAAATGTTTGACGGAGTAGCACGAATACACACGTGGTGGCGCGATTCAAAATGACAGATTATGATTACCGTAAGTCAACGAATAATCTTTCTTGCTGCAGAAAAAATTTGTCAACGCTGCGCGTAATTCCTTGTTAAATGCAAAGTAAATCCAAGGATTAACGCAACTCGTGAGACTGTTTAAGAGACTTAGAATAGTGAAAGCAGCCCCTGCAAATTATAATACATACAAGTACAATGAGATAAGAATTAATAAACAATTTAATGCCTCGGAGAGACATTAGATCCGAAAAATAAACACAGGAAAGAGAGAGAGAGAGAGAGAGAGAGAGAGAGAGAGAGAGAGAGAGAGAGAGAGATATTGCGCTTTTCGTTCTCTCGTATATGTTAACATTTAATAATATAAATTGAGCCAATATATATGTATAAATAAATTAACTGTTATAAGCGTTATGAATTGTACAATATATATAAGTTATACAATGAATAATTTAATTAAAACATATTCGAATTTTCGAATCGTCGAACGTTATATGACGGCCAATATCGCTTTCTAATCGATAGAATGCTTTAAATTATATCGTTACAGTTTGTCACTGCATTCGATAAAATATTTACCAGTAAAAAATGGCGAAGAGGAAGCTGTAGGATCCCATGTTGCCCACAGCTCGCAGCCGATAAAAGGGCTATTGGTGAGGATGTATAAAGTAACCACAACGATCGTCTGTTTCACAGTATTGATCATCGCCTTGGAGATGATGGGATCTCGATTTCGCTGAAAGAAACTGGCTTTGTTGCTTCTCTTGAGATCAACGACTCCCGACATTTTACTGCTCGTCCATATCGACATACATATTCTCGTATAGGTATACACGAGCACTATGAAGGGTAATAGGAACTGCGTAACACTGTACCTATAATTGAATCACATCGCTCAAGTCTATCGATATTATGAAACGCTACAAAGAATATATATTTAAAAAGAAAGTGTAACGTAAATGTTACATGGATGAGTATAATATTACCAAGTAATATACGCCCTCTCGCCATATTTCAGGTTAAAAGTGGCCCAGCACTCCCAGACGCCGGGCGATATTTCCGTGTACGAGAATATAAAAATCTAAAATTATTGAACGAAAAAAAAGTCTGTAATTTGCCGCAACAAACGTGAGGCCATTTATAACTGTCCGACGGCCGCGCGCCAGAGATGCGTTTATCAAAAACGTCAAGAAATTCGCGAGGCGCATGATGCATTTATAAGCGACGAGTCCCATACAATTAACGCTCTCATAAATTAGCGGGTCGACGCTATTGGATTTGCGCCCGCTTGTCCGTATAGGATAAAAATTAATATCTCAAGTAAACCGGTCCACCTTCCCGGCCCGTGCGAACGGGATTCCGCGGTGTGGCGGATTAAATTTTCAACGGACCTGCGGTACGCACAGCGTGGCAGCGAGCACCCACGCCCCGTACACCATCATTTTCGATCTTCGAGATGTGATGCCGCAGTAACTGAACGGGTGGCAGATGGCGTAGTACCTGTCCATCGCGGTCACCGTCAGGATATAGGAACTGAGATACAGGCCGAACGGCTGTCCGTACTTGATCAGCTTACAGAGCGCCGCACCACCCTGAAATCTGACGGTCGCACCGTCAAATTTGTTTAATCTTGAGGCGACAGCAGATTTCTGCTCTCTAAAAGTCAAACGGTGGCTTATCGCTGAAAACAGTCACTGACTTACAGTTATAAGTATACCACTGCAATTTTCAGTATACTTATAACTGCATATCGGTGACTATTCACTGTTTTCAGCGATTCACTGATTGACTTTTAGGCCCGACTTTTAGGTTTTTCAATTTCTGGTTAACTGTTAACCAGAGGTCAATTCTCTGTCTCTTTTTAGATAACAATATAAAGAAAGATAGAGAGTCGACCAACTTGTGGTTAACAGTTTATCAGAAAACGAAAAACCGGGCCTTAGGAGTGCGATCGAAGCTATCGCAGAAATTCGTATATCGGAGACACGTCGAATTTGTATACAAAAAGGACATCCTCATCCATCGAGTCGATAAAAATAAATTATCATAACGTGACAATACAGAAATTTAGATTTGATCTTCGATTGAGTTGATATCTTTTTATCAGACCGGCAATAACTATCCGATAACTGAAAACTGTCCTATAGTATATTTATGGTGTGTTACACGTATCGATTGTTATTTAGTTCTCAAGATCACATCAGAAACGACCAAGTTTATTTGTGTGAAAACAATAAAGTATGTACATTTGTACGACAAGTTATTAATTAAAATGGCAGGCGATATTGGGCAGCGAGGAAACTAAACGCGCTCCAGATAAGAATCTGGATTAATCATATCACGCATCATGTCTCGATGGACAAATATAATTTCCTAGCACCGGTGAAAATGTCAATATGGGAATACAAGATGCTTATGCTTTTCTTCAGAAATTTTTCATCCAGAATTTTTAGAACTTTGAAACGGTTAGGTATTCACATCAATTTTAGGACATTGACTAAACAAACGATTATTGTTTCGCGTCAAAACAGGTAGTGTCAATTTTTCATCATGTTGAAATATTTCCCTGATGCAATGACGACAAATAACGATTTTGATGTCATATTGACATCATTTTGACTAGACTGTTTTCACTGGGTACTGTCGCGACTGATCGTCGCGGATGAACAAACGCGCCCCCGCTACTGTCGCCGTCTCCGGCGCACGAAATTTACGTGTTGGTCAACGAAGGCTCATTAGAGAGTCATAAGGTTAACCGGAATGACGGCGCAGTTTACCTGAACGTTATGTCCCAGGCGAGCTGCGGCAGAACGTCGAGCAGACCCGTCAGCAGGTCGGCCACGCTCAAGTGCAAGATGAAGAAGTACATCCTGGTGAACTTTCGCCGCTGATAACGCCGCCGGATGTAAAGGGCCAGCAGGACCAGGGCGTTGCCGATGAGCGTGACGAGGAATATGCTGGTCAGCACCGCAATTTCCCACTTGGCGAGGTACTCGTCCCTCGCGTCGTTCGACGGCCATTCCGAGAGCGACGGCGACGTCGATGACGAGGAGTTTAAATCGCGCGACATGTCTCCGAAGCACTCCTCTCGCGCCCGAGTCTCTCGAGCCACCGGTTTGTCATTCAGACGATACTCGCCCGGCCCGACGAGGAAGGAGAGAGAGGAAAAAAAGAGGAGAGGCAAGGGGAGCAAAAGAAAAAAAGAGAGCTGTTCGGAGATCGTCCGTGCGAATCCGCGCCTACTACGAGCTTCTTCTTCCAAAGGGGTAATGGCGCTGGTCCTTCTGTCGAGTCCAAATGGGCAACCTGCTACGATCGCGCGACGCAAAGTTTGCGCGCCGGTTAAATATTCATACGGATTTCCGGTGTTGACGTGACAACGCACGTTCGTCGACGCGACGACGCGGAATAGCCTCTTCTGAAGAAAGTGTCGACGAGCATTGCGAAATCGGGCACGATCGAGGGCACAGTTGGACGTCCGGAAACGGAATCGAGCTCTTCGACGATGCGGGGAGAGAAACACAGCTGGACCAGACCGAAATCCGCGAGGAGCGCCGATGCAACTCTCGCCTATCGATATGTCATTGCCGCAGTTTCTGCAAAAACACGTAAGCAGCCTCGTTGTTACGAGCGAACTACGTGGGTTTCACGATCAACGTCGACACCGCGCTCGGCCCGACCGCGTCGCGCCTCGCCTCGTATCAGCCAAGGTGCAGTGGAAGGATCGGTGAGTCCGACTGGAAGGATCCGAGGAAAAACAGTGTTACGTAATGAGGGTACATGAAATTGTACGTAGATTCTGGTTATGGCGATTTACATAAGATTGAGAACCTTTTCTCCTTTCGGCGACCGACCGAGGAGATCGCCTGGCATTCGATGGAAATTATGGGATATTCAATGAGTTTTGAGGGTTTGAGAAAAAGTGTCTGGACCACTTTCACGCCGACCGTATTGTTACACTTCGAGATCCCGTAAATTGTTGATTTTGAAGAAAGCACGATCGTTTTTAAGCAACGCGAGGGTTATCATTGAATTTCGTTGCATGAATAAATAGTCATCTTCCATTGGTAATCTAACTAGAGCCACGTGTGTTAACGTGAGGATATTATACTGATTATAAGCGATTTTAGCTAATTAGGAAGATGATTTGTAACATTATCGTCGTGTATTTCTATGTCATCATGCTGCGTTACGTCAACAAATTAACTGATTCTTGAATGGAACTTTGCTGACGGTGAAACTTTAAATAATGTGATTACAATATGGAATAGACAATCAGCTTTGTGAAAACCATTAATTACGGTATGTGTGGAATAATTTCACAATGTGCAGCATCGTGAAACAGGTCATGAATCCCGTGCTAATTATACATAAATAGAAGACACTTCTTGGAAGATGCAGCAACACCTTATGCATTTTTTAATAAGATTAACAAATAACAAAATTTTTCGACGAAATATTTTTCAGCTTTTAGATGAGATCTAATCGATCCTGACTGATCGACAAACACTTGGCTGCGCACACTTGTACGTTACTCTTTTTTCTTATCAAATTTAGAGATGTGCGCGGACTCTATTCGAGAACTCTACTTTCCGGAATTCGGTAGGACGAATTTATTATTAACGTTTTTACGTCCGTAATTAAGATGTTCTCTGACAAAACAATCGTATCTCTCGCAGTGATACATAAGCATTTAATGACTCGAGACGCTATGAGTGTATGCACCTTATTCTTACGTGACGCGCGGAAGTCGAGTTATAATTATGCACATCAATTGGAGCAGACATTCTTGATGATAATTACGATAATATGACGGTACAGTCCGTCCAGTTCATAGAAATTTGCCGCTAACAATCCTCTTATCGATTATCGAACGGATACTGCGAGGCATCGATGCTGGAAGAGGCGCGTGGCGCAAACCGTCGGTATCCTGGACGTTCCGTAATTATTTACGACAGTATCAAACTACATTTAAGTGCACGATTAACTTTTTTACGACGTCTTATTTATCGCATTCTCTCGCCAAGGTTTCGCTCTGAAAAAAAACGTCGATATACGCAATCTTGCTAATTCATTTTGACTCGCGGCAAAAATGCGCGGATTTCTACTGACTTTTCTCACCGATTGTGAATTGAGATTATTTATAAATATGCTAAGAGGCACGAACGGTATATATAAGTGTATCGACATAAAATATCGACGAGAGACAAAAGAGAAAGAAACGCACAACGTCTGGATCTTTGTAACGATTTATTTTGAAAAAGTCGTTATTTGTTAAGTAAAATCTATCACAGAGTCGCGATCAAGGAAGTACCCAGAAAACTGTATCGTTACGTCACAAGTAAAGAAAAAAAACACAATACAAACAGATTCACGTTCTTAAGAAGAAAAAAAAGATAATTTTAGGTGTTAACGTTGAGTGCTCGCGTAAGTACAATGCATATGCATATGGGCTTAATTTTTTTGGATCAAAGTCGTTTACGCTTTTTACACGCAGCGAGAAAAAAATCAATATCAATGTTACGCCATGCTTTTAGCTGAAGAATCATAACATCTTTTTGTCAGCGCTTTTTAATCCGTTCGGTGAGACGGAGCGCGAGCATGACTCGATGATTGACTTGCGGCCGGGTAGCTGTAGCTGTATAATTAATTAGTGAAATGCAATCTCGATGTAAATGCGCTCATGTGCGACGGTTAATGATCGAGCGACAATGTCGAGCGAGCTGGGCGTGATCGCGACAGCTCCGGACGTTTGTTTGATCAAGGTATGTGCGGCTCGTGAGTTTATTATGCGCCGTGTGGCATTGAATTGTCAAACAGTCCACTTAAATAGGCGTATATGACCCTTATGTTGCGCGGATCGCGAAAGACGAGCGACGTGGAAGTTCTTGACATGCTGCAATTATAAAACGCGCGTTTGAAGCTCGGATGTAAAACTCGTTTCTCCCTTAATCCGATGATTGTCAATACGAGATTTCCGCGGAAGCGTTTTTTTTACGCGATAGGTGTAATTTGGTATTTTTACATCGGCGTTCTCCCCAATCTTGTCCGCTTTTACTTTTTTTTTAAAGAGAATAATATAATATAATTTAGTGGCTCTCGGAAGCTGAATATAACTTTCAAAAAAATAATAAGACAAGCAATAAGAGATAAACATAATTTTAATCAGTAAGTCATATGTAGGCGTACGTTTAGAATAATATAGTCAACTTTTTAAAAAAAAAATCTGTGTTCCTCTAGACGGAGAGAATTTTCTCTTAAAATTTACCCTGAAAATCACGTAATCGTGAGATAACATGGCATCTTGAAGAACTTCATGAGAGTTTTTTGAAATTTTATCATACATTCTACTAGCAAAATGTATACACGGAAAAAAAAGTTCTCTCAACAAGATCAGTGTAATTGAAATAAAATGAAAATGAAAATTGGTGTTAGTAGTTAAAATAGTAAAAGGTTTAGTGGGGGCAATGTGAGCCGTCACCTGAACGAAGGTGATATAAATTATATATCAGTGAGTTCTAGTGTAAGATATAAGATTGGTAACAATATGATACAGTTATATATGAAATAAAGTCGTCGAAACAACATCAGTATTAACGAATGAAAAACAATGACGGTGCATGAATTAAACGTTAACGTCACAGGCTGCCACAAACATAAATAATTAATTCAATTGTATTTGCTATGGAGTGTAATTTTAAGCATTGAACTAAAATGCCATATATTCTAGATATTTAGTTCAAGGCTTAATATTATTATACACTCCATAGCAAATACAATTGAGTGAATTATTTATGTTTGTGGCAGCCTGTGACGTTAACGTTTAATTCAAGCAACGTCATTGTTTTTCATTTAACAGTATTTTTCCCGTGTCCTAGCAACAATTATAATTACTAGTAAAACGTATGGTAACATTTCAAAAAAAGTCTCATAAAATTCTTCGAAATGTCATGTTGTCCCAGGATAACACGATTTTCAGGATAAATTTTGAGAAAAAATTCCCTCTGTGTAGTTTTCCATATTTTATGCGAGATCGGAGACGCGGCTTAGCCCTTTGGAAGCTGCGGCGCACGGGCTGGCGCTGCATGGAGAACGTTCACGTCCCTTTACATCCACGTTGCTTACGATGCGTGACGGCGCATCCCTTTCGACGGGTGTCGCGCGTAATTGACTCGGGGAGGCAATCGATGTGCCCGTTCGACTCTCATAACTTACTCCACTATCGTCAGCGCATTACCCCGCCCGGCGACCGATTGCCGACGAGGGAGGAGTCGCGCGATACCCCCGTGTTTCCCTTCGCTCGCGCGGCCGGGGTGGATCGGGTGCCTCGTGCCCGGTCCGGTCTTTTCGCCGGCGCAGCAAGTAAAGACGTTTATCATTGTCGACGGTGCTCGTCGCCCGGCTCGTCGTTCTCGGGGTTATTACGGGTTATGAACGTCAGTGGGAGGAGCCGCCGCATACCGGTCGATATAAAGGGAGAAAGTGATGACCTCGACGGGCGCGAGCTCTGGAAGAGCTTCATAAAGTAAATTACTATGTGCCGCACGTACATCTTATGAGGATTAAGGAGGGACGTATCAAGAAAGATCCCGCCGTCGAGGTCGACGTCTTGGCGGACCTTGCCTTCCACCCCCTTTATCTCGGTCCCGGCGTAGCCGGGATGCTTGTTGAAAATCACGATGCTTCCTTCGACCGGTGTATCCTCCCGGCTGTACGCTCGCCGATAAAGAGGGCCGAAGGGGGGAGATCAAAACTAAGCGGAGTAACTCGTATAGATTGCAACGTTAAGCGTCTGATAAATTCGACGTCGGGGCCTCATTGGAATTTTTCTCGCGTAAGGACGCCTGAATTTTGCGAGACGCTCCACGGCTTTATTCCCTCGCCGAGGATTTGCGACGCTGTAATGCAAGACATCTTCCTCTACGTGGGTAAATTCGAGCAATTTATAGTCTGTCCCGTTGCTATTAAGATGCAGGCAAAAGATTCGGATAAACCGCGCGGTTGAACTCGAAGTTAAAAGCGTTCAGAAGTGGAAACAAATTCGGAGATTGATCGAATCAATAGAAGACTGGGTTGAGAATTGGATATTAGGAAAAGTTCAGATAAGGCTAATAATATGAAAATTTCCTTTCTAAAAAAGAGATGTTACCAGCGCGAATGTCGTTAATATCGAATAGTTGAGGCCTCTTTTCCGCGATGTCGATTGGTTTTCTTGAAGCGCGGAGTGCTTTACCTCTCTTTTAGATTCATTATGAATAAAGATTTGCAATTTAGAAAAATACATTTGTATACATTAATTGAGGTAAAATCTCTAATCTTGGTAATTAGAATTTAAGTAACAACGATTTTTGTTTCGAAACATAGTCTCGATTGAAGAGAAATAATCGTTAATTTAAGGCTAATAATATGAGAATCCCTTTCTAAAAAAGAGATGTTACCAGCGCGAATGTCGTTAATATCGAACAGTCGAGGCCTCTTTTCCGCGATGTCGATTGGTTTTCTTGAAGCGCGGTGTGCTTTACTTCTCCTTTAGATTCATTATGAATAAAGATTTGCAGTTTAGAAATATACATTTGTATACATTAATTGAGGTAAAATCTCTAATCTTGGTAATTAGAATTTAACTAACAACGATTTTTGTTTCGAAACATAGTCTCGTTTGAAGAGAATTAATCGTTAATTTAATCAATACCAATAAGTCCGCAGAGTAATATACAAAACGTAGTAACAATCACGGAACAAAGTAATGTAGAAAGTATTAAGTACAGAAGTTTCCATGACGTAGGTAGGACAACGAATTCTCAACGTTTTTCTTGTTTTTTTGGTGTTTTTCACTCGGCGCGGTATCGTACGACGTCACGCGGGCCAACGTTCACCTCAAGGTTACCGCTCGCTCACTCGCTCGCCGAACGTCGTGCCGGCAAGCAGTGGCGAGAGTTGCTCCGCGCGTAGTATTACTTTTGCGTGATCGGTTTCCAAGACTCGATCGCGGTGAATGCAGGGATAAAACACTATTGATTTGCACACCTTCATTAGTAACAAGTAACGTTCTTTGATTAATTACTAAATTTCTACAACTTGTAACGAGAACGAATTGCATGTCGAGGCGACGGCTCTTTATCAACGTATACATATTTCACGAGACTAACTCGTCTAAAATCTGAGTGTATACCGTGGTACTTTGTCGCGGTTACATTTCGTTTACGCACTTTTAATTGTCTATCGATTTCGTGTAATCTGTTCATTTTCGGGAAAAGAGTAATTTGTGCGACTTCGGCGTTCGCGCTGTAATTCGCTCTGTCGTTCTTCGCAACTCGTACGGGCAGGAAGTACAGAAAGTCGCTTATTGCACGTCGTTACATTACGTAAATGATCTCGATTAACTGTTGCAATTAACAACCACTATTTATCGCTGGAAATTTTGTTCTCATAACTTATCTCGAGGGTTAGATTGAATGACAGAGAATGTACGTACGTCTTTACCGCAGATTGTGCCTCCGGTGCTCGCGTTGCGTTTTATATCGGCAATTCAAAAGTGTTATATCCATTATCCTATTCTTCCGAATCAAAAGTGCAAATTGTTTGAGTAATTTGTATGACAGAATCACGCAACCTAATACTATTTCGTGCGTTTCGCAGTATTTCACGTCGCGTACGGGAGTGCCGGAAATTTCGCGCGATCGATGATTTTCGCGAGTGAGTGATGTGCAAGTGCCACAAGGAAATCTGAGAGGAGGAGGAGGCCTCGGGGAGGCATCGGGCAACGACGGAGTAATGGTGAGGTAAGTGTCTTACCCTCTTATGTTATTTGCTACTTGTACAAATTCTGTTCAGTGTTTTTATTTTATATATTCAAATGATTCGAACGAGGATTCGAATAAGTGTTAGAGACAAAATCGTACGTATGAAATTTCGTGAGTTTATTTTTAAAAGAGACTTTTTCAGTATTCCGTATAATTATTTTTATAAATACCTATTTTTTTAAATATAAAATATGAAGTATATTTTGTACAATAATTTTGATTTTACACAATTCGTCTATAATAATCATATACATATTTGTATGTTTTCAGTTTAACATATATTGTTACCGATGTACAACTCTGCTGTTGCGAATCGTATCAGTGAGTAATAAATTGCTCTTTATTTTAAACTGACGTTGCGCATACAATTACTACTTTGCGTGTAGAGAAGTTCTTAAAAATATACAATGCCCAACCACAAACTGCGTTTTGACGGTATATAATAAAAAAACCAATGTCTGAAACATTGACAACGATTCGTATGGTTTGACCCTATCTTTAGATTTCAACCATTTAAAATAACCGGGATATTCATTCGTATTTTTATACACGGTCACGATCGTTGATTAGCACCAATCAAAAA